TTGCACGCGATGAACACGTGCAAACTTACATTTTGTAGAAAATGTAGTGCATTGCTTATTTAAATCCTTTTATCTTGAATCTTAATTGCTATTCTATGGGATTTTGACATCAGAGGCATGTAATTTAATTATGATAATGTCACCGAATTTTAAATTATAATTTTCAATCAAATAACATAGTTTTCGTTTTATGAGTAATTGGGTCATTTTCTTAAAATAGAAAATAACATTGTTAGCTGCAGCAATTGATGTCGTACAAGCATATTTTGATTACTCGTAGAACTTAAATAATATCGTTGTTTAAAATGTTCATATTTTCATATTTACTGTAAATAATTGTATTTTTGCTTGCTCTGTATTTCACGAACTATGGCTTGCAGATTTTAATTATGATGTTTTGAATTCGGTTTGAAGTGTTAATTTAACACTGAAAATAATAACGTATGGAAGACGACTAAAAATCGTGAAATAACGCAAAATAATTCCTCTCGAAAATATAGGGATTTTTAGTATCTTTTGTCAGAAAATATCCAATATTTTAGAAATAAACCAATTCTAACTTTTAGCTCGCACTGATTCAACATCTTGATGTCGGCTTACATTCAAGTCAACCGATTTTTCACCGTCATTGTTAACACTGCTACTGAAGGAACTGTCCCAGTATAGCATTGCGTCGAGAGGGACAGGACCTGAGGTAATAACAGGTAACTGTCCCAGTATAGCATTGCCTCGAGAGGAGCAGGACCTGAGGTACTAACAGGTAACTGTCCCAGTATAGCATTGCGCCTCGAGAGGAACAGGACCTGAGGTACTAACAGGTAAGAGTCCCAGTATAGCATTGCCTCGAGAGGGACAGGACCTGAGGTACTAACAGGTAAGAGTCCCAGTATAGCATTGCCTCGAGCGGGACAGGACCTGAGGTACTAACAGGTAAGAGTCCCAGTATAGCATTGCCTCGAGCGGGACAGGACCTGAGGTACTAACAGGTAAGAGTCCCAGTATAGCATTGCCTCGAGAGGGACAGGACCTGAGGTGCTAACAGGTAACTGTCCCAGTATAGCATTGCGCCTCGAGAGGAACAGGAGCTGAGGTACTAACAGGTAAGAGTCCCAGTATAGCATTGCCTCGAGAGGGACAGGACCAATGCTACACTGGGACAGTTACCTGTTAGTACATCAGGTCCTGCTCCTCTCGAGGCAATGCTATACTGGAACAGGACCTGAGATACTAACAGGTAACTATCCCAGTATAGCATTGCCTCGAGAGGAGCAGGACCTGAGGTAATAACAGGTAACTGTCCCAGTATAGCATTGCCTCGAGAGGAACAGGACCTGCGGTACGAACAGGTAACAGTCCCAGTATATCATTGCCTCGAGAGGAGCAGGACCTGAGGTATTAACAGGTAACTGTCCCAGTATAGGATTGCCTCGAGAGGAGCAGGACATGAGGTACAACAGGTAACTGTCCCAGTATATCATTGCTTCGAGAGGAGCAGGACCTGAGGTATTAACAGGTAACTGTCCCAGTATAGGATTGCCTCGAGAGGAGCAGGACATGAGGTACAACAGGTAACTGTCCCAGTATATCATTGCTTCGAGAGGAGCAGGACCTGAGGTATTAACAGGTAACTGTCCCAGTATAGCATTGCCTCTAGAGGAGCAGGACCTGAGGTACTAACAGGTAACTGGCCCAGTATAGCATTGCCTCGAGAGGAACAGGACCTGCGGTACGAACAGGTAACAGTACCAGTATATCATTGCCTCGAGAGGAGCAGGACCTGAGATACTAACAGGTAACTATCCCAGTATAGCATTGCCTCGAGAGGAGCAGGACCTCATGTACTAACAGGTAACTGCCCAGTATAGCATTGCCTCCAGAGGAACAGGACCAATGCTACACTGGGACAGTTAACTGTTAGTAGCTCAGGTTCTGCTACTCTCGAGGCAATGCTATACTGGGACAGTTACCTGTTAGTTCCTCAAGTCCTGTTCCAGTATAGCATTGCCTCGAGAGGAGCAGGACCTCATGTACTAACAGGTAACTGCCCAGTATAGCATTGCCTCCAGAGGAACAGGACCAATGCTACACTGGGACAGTTAACTGTTAGTAGCTCAGGTTCTGCTACTCTCGAGGCAATGCTATACTGGGACAGTTCCCTGTTAGTCCCTCAAGTCCTGTTCCAGTATAGCATTGCCTCGAGAGGAGCAGGACCTGAGGTACTAACAGGTAACTGTCCCAGTATAGCATTGCCTCGAGAGTAGCAGAACCTGAGGTACTAACAGGTAACTGTCCCAGTGTAGCATTGGTCCTGTTCCTCTCGAGGCAATGCTATACTGGGACAGTTACCTGTTAGTCCCTCAGGTTCTGCTACTCTCGAGGCAATGCTATACTGGGACAGTTCCCTGTTAGTCCCTCAAGTCCTGTTCCAGTATAGCATTGCCTCGAGAGGAGCAGGACCTGAGGTACTAACAGGTACTGACTAACCTGTCCTAACTTTCTATTCCTACTGTCATGATAAATTGACATAGATAGTTGTTTCTTTGGCGTACAGCGTAAATGTCGTCAGCAAATTTCATGTAATGTTTAACGACTACCTTGCGATTGGATCAACTCGTAAAAATGTGATGTCAAGAATAAAACCCAATAACTTTATATAAACATCCTAGAGTTAACTACACCATATTGCAGTAAGGGCCATTCTGTTAGCCATGGTCACGTGGTCATTAAAAGTGCATTGACATGGACTGACTGCGGCCTGGTTATAACACTATTTTTGTATAAGGTCAAGCTCTATTGTATTGCGGGAGGTTAAATGATCGTTTTCCGTGTTTATGGTGGTATCTATAGCCAGTCTTAGTTGACATCAAACACGTTTACAATTTATCTTGCTTCCCATCATCTCAAAGCGAAACTGATTGATGTTTTTCTCATCAATAAACACGGTCAGCCCGTGTCGGCAGTCTCATTCGTTTTAACACATACTTTTTTGTTATACCTTCCTATACATTTAATTGTTTCCCATGGTTATTTTATTATGAAATCCGCTTATCTTTCTGGAACACCTGGTCATATACATTTTTTGAAGGGTCTCCCTGCAATTCTTTCTTTTGTTCATTTTCAGCCCTAGTTTTATCGATTGCGAATTGAAATAAAGTTTTGTTCACCCTTAAGTAGTTTTTTTTCAAATGACACTTTTTTCTTTAGATTTTATGGTGTTACCTTTCTTCCTGACTGCCGCTTATAAAATTGCGTGTGTGTTTAAAGTGACTGAAATACACTGAACTTAAGTCTGTTTAGGTTCCGTCGTCTACTATATATGGCAGCTATAAGTTCTATAATGATATGGCCAAGATGCTACATCTGATATAATGTTCTTAGCAATAAGTACAGTTCATCAAATAATTCGTCTAATTATCTAAATGTACGCTATGACTGTCCGTTCTCCACCATTACGTATATTGAATATTTTTTTGCTACGGTCTGGCCAATATCCGCTAGGTGAGACATTTACACTGGTCATTGTTGGGTAGTTCACGCCAATATTTGTTTCATTTGACACATGGTGTCGTGATCGCAAACCATACGCATGCACCTGGCAGTTTTATTGTTGTGGCAGGCATCCTGTTTCCACTGCTCAATTAGATTGCTGAACACTGGTGTTATATGACTGACATTAATGTGAATGACTCCCACACTCCCTTTCCGAGTAACAGTTCGAACCAATGAATGTATATGGCTGGCAATGACGTAGGACAGATTGACGTAAGACAAGCCGGACACGCCGTAATGACTTACAGTGTGAGGTGGTTATCGCCGCTGATCACAGCTTGCCTCAGCAGTAATAGCTGGAGTCCAGGGAAGTTGTCTAGATCCGAGACACTGTGATGGACAGATTATCAATACCCGTTGCATACCCTTTCTTGTTCGGATCCTTTATGAAGTCAAAGAGTCTCGCTGTATCCAAATAACCTTGTAAAAGTCAACTATATTTGGGAAAAAATATTTTTTCCCGTATTCTTTTGTTTATCTATGCTTGTTTTTGTTTGTACTTCAGGCACATTTAGCAATCAAAAGGACCAACCAATATTGAAATCAGTCTGAAACAGTGTTTCTTTGCTCTATCGAAATTTGGTTTTTTCCCATTTGGAAAAAAGGAAGATGTTTTTAAAAAACTAAAACAAAACAATCAATTTTTACATTTGGCAACAACTTTAGTTTTCCCTAACGATTTTATCGTTATGTACTGTCATTATATTTAAGACGCGTGTTTAATTTCTTTGCATGGCTCACAGTATCAATTTATTTACACAAGTGCTCTGTTGTGTGTGTGTTGGTGTTTCGTTCACGTGTCCAGTGATAATAATTTAACGATACTAATAGTTATTAAGCACGGTGGAAAGTATCGGGTATATATATAGACGAATAGTTAGTATTTTCATCATTTAAATTCATATTCAAGGGGTCTGAAAACAAAGATATCTGAATGTTTATAAGGGCATCTGAAGCCAATGTATTTAGAATCATACGACTCGCATAAGTCAATATGGATAATATTATCCCTAGTGGATATGAATAGGAATGTACTCTTTATTTATAAATGACTTCTAGTTCAATTCATCGTCCTCTCGGGTGTATCTATCTGTTACACTACTGATATCATACGAGGGAGGGGTATAATTTCCTTTCTATAATGTTAAAATCTGGAACGTGAAAGTGTTTGTATAACAGTGGTGTCCTATCAATTTTCATTCGATACTGAATCGGTTATAGGCAAAGGACTTATATACTCAGTAGTACCTAGATTGACCACTAGCAGAAACATTTGGACAAAAACACGTAGATCATTTGGCAAATTTGACGGCGTTGGACAATTTTTTGCGATATAGTACTTTATGTTGACAGTCTTAAGTTAAGACATGGATATTCTTTCATGATAACAACATTTAGCTTTAACATTTAAAAATTTGATTTCTTTTAAAAAAAATCAACAACTCTTCTTATATGGAAAGATATTTATTCGAATCTCTCCTCGACAGAGACATTTCAGGTTTACCACTTAATGGACAAGCCTATGAGAACCGGAAGAGATCACCTACACTATGGAATAGCACAAAATTACATGCTTTTTTTGTTAATTAATACTTATCTTGATATAAAGTTTGTATCAAAGAGGGTTTTTTTAGCATCTTTGGAAAACAACTCAGTTATTAGTTGAAGAAATTCCATCGATAGAATGCAACGTTAATGGCGTCGAATTGAAAAACAACATACATATCGAAAAGTTAAAAGATCAGAAGTTTTATCATGCGGTAGAGAAAAAGATACATGCCATGGATGGTTTGAAAATATTTATCAATCAGATCAAGAGAAAAGCATGCACAGATAATGTAGAACAATGCCTGGAAGTATTGTTTGTATACACAATTCATTCAAAATTGAAGACAGAATTTCAAGTACATTGCCAATTGGCAAGAACAGCAAAATTCTTATTTAAAGAATGAAACAAAGAAATGAAGACGACATCGCTTATAAATATATATTACTATAATATATATATATTGAAGATTAACCACTCGGAGGATATGTTGACTTCAGGTTTTGGAAATTCCGAGTAGTTCAGTATAGGTTTGTAAAACAGCAATTGACTTGTGAGACCCTGAGCGAAAGGAGTCGGCCTTCCTAGTAAAGGGAGATCACAGGAGACAGTACATAGGTTTTAGCTGCGAAAAACATGACATGCAGAGTTTTGTTCCCAAGTGAAGCTAGATATTGAAGACGTCCACAGAAAGAGAATGTCATCCATGACAGGTGATAACACCACCAGTCTTAGCATGCACCGGGGAGGAGGTAGAGAATCCTTCGGGGTGGCATGCAGCATAACGACACTGAAAACGTTCTTCATGCACTGGTATTCACTGGTTCACACCACCTGGAATGATTTAAACACAATACTTTAACACCATAGAATCATACGTCTCTGAACAGCGTTAAAAGACAGGCTCTGCTATACATATACAACGTAGAGTAACACATCGTTTGAAAGGTCAACATATAGAGATAAAAATAATTAGAATAGTATCAAGAATGGTATTTCCACGGTTGTTTTATTAGTCGGGTATAGTCAGACCAAACTGACCAGTTCTGTGGACATTTGCGTGGAGTAGTCATTTCAGGTGATTGCATAAATTGCAGATACACCTTCCTCTTCATTGTTCAGGTGTAACGAGCATAACATACGTGTACCGATACATCATAACTCTTTCACCGATAACATGAAAGTGTTCGCTGAATGTTCTCAAAATGGTGATTGGAGGTCGACACGACAGGTCATTTTAATCTGAGATTACATGTTACACGTACTTATAGCCGATATACAGTAGTTGATATAGTCACTATATATATATGTATGGAAATAAGGCTTGTTTCTCCGAAAAGATAACTAGGAATAGAGTCTCGATTTTAATATCAAGGGTAGAATACTCAAATAAAGTTAAACATCAATCAAGTATTTGTAGACAATCCTAATGTTTTGAACAACATGATTTTATATCAAAAAAGGTTAAAAGTAATTGAAACAGAGCTTTATAGAAAACATAAACCTGATGTTTGACCAACATAAGAGGTCAAACAGTACAACGTCATTTAAAGGGAGGTATATAAAGTATAAATGTCAGTAAGATGTTTTGAAAGCACAGAGAAATAGAATAGAAACCAACAGCTTGAACATTTCAACAATATATACACATGAGTTGTAATATTGGGCAAAATGTGAAACTTTTGTTGTTAGTTTAAATAGCGTAATCTGTAGTACAGCATAATTGAGATAATGGGTGATGTTATTCAAAACAGTGGTATGATATAAGCATATTTCACATCTAATATATCCTTGTATCAAACTCACTCTTGTAATTTCAACAAACTTCATTGTCATTGCAATATGCAAGATGTGAAAATAAAAGTAGATCAGGTACATATCTTTTACTAAGGCCCTGACAAATTTGTTGAAAGTCCTAACTTTTTCACAATCAACAGTTAACAAATGGAAAGACTGAGCATTCTAATTTAGTGCGTTGCTTTAGAGTTCAGAAATAAACAATCAGTTTCATGTATAATAAGCTTGGTAATATATCTATTATATGTATTATACGTAAAATGTGTATGGACGTTTGTTGAAAAAGTATTGTTTGGCATAAACAACATGGAAGAATTAAATGTTAAGTACAACCGATTCTCCTGCGGTTTCATTGGTAACGTGGAATCCGAAAATACGAAACAATGTCACTATGTTACCTTATCGCTTTTAATGCTTTATTACATTCGTTTTAAATATTGAGAAAATGTGGGTCTAAAGCTAAAAAAAGTAAGCTTTGACTTGTTTTGAAATCAAATATCATAATTTGACTTTTTACAGAAATAGACTACATGATATCTTGCAATATGCGATATGTTGTTCAACAATTGTTCTAAGGAAGAGTGTACCACTCCGTACACCTTAATGCGTAATAAACTGATACAGCGACGCTTACACCATCTCGATAAAATTCACTGAAAGAAATAGTATTTGATCAGAAATATAAAAAAAGAAAACAAAAGAAAATAGATAAATCAGTCAAATAGAATCTTTTAATCTCATTTCATAATTTACATGTTTATATTTAAGAAGAAAAACAAAAGTATGTAGAATATATAATAAAAAATGATGATTAATAAAATACTATTTCAATGTGAAAATAATTGATTTGACAGATAACCAAGAATGATGCAATACAGTTAGTAAATTATATATATCTAGTATATACAGGAACTAAAGCAAATTGTTGTAAAAACATAATGAAATAAAATCCAAATTTCGTTATTCTTTAATAAATAGCACGGACTAACGTAGTGTCCAACGGTGTCTAGCTATCTATAATGCAATTGTTTTACTGCCCTGTTCGGAAGTCATCTTTCATATACGGGAAGTGGGTAATATATTTAGAATATCCACCCTACGGCACCACTTTTATAAGTTCGACAGGCGAGTGCTACACTGCTCCTTAGAAATGTGTATGGTTTAAGGTTTGCTCACCATGGAAGGTTCACGTACAGTATACAAGTTGTATTGTTATAGATACATTTGATGTCTTTATATCACTAAACATGCGAATGTGCTCCTCCAAATATTTCTTGTTTAAAATACGTTATAGACTGAAGTAAATAAGCTGATATGTTTGCATAAATATCCATAATAATCCATCAAAAATATTTGTTTACTTTTGTGAAAATAATATTAAAACATGGTCATGAGGTAACATCATCATTCTATAAGTTTCTTGTATAAGTATTTCTTATATAAATATTGCACATATGAGCATTAAATTGATCAGTTCCATTCTCGCTATCGATCGTTCGTTCGTTCTCTTTTAAATTCTTAATGTGAGTTTTCAACTCAGCCATATGCTATGTGCCAACCCTGTTGACGTTTTGACATCTCTGGATACGACCTAACCAATGGAATCACCTCATCTGAGAAGATACCTTCAGACTCGAGCGGAGAGGCATGATCTCGCTTGCCATAAGCAATGCTCCACTTGTTGGATCGTCGTTTTCCATAGGCTATGTTCCAGCCCTGTCGTAGACGTTTATCTGGCACTACATACTCTCCACTGTAAGGCTCGTCCCGTGTTTCTAATGTTTTCATATAATTTTCCAGGAGTCTATCATAAATATCTGGGTGTTGTTTCCCTGTCAGTAGCGAAAGAAGTGGTCCTTGCTCTTCTGTATGCAATGGTAGACCGATGGTACCTGTAACATAGAAGCATATGAATAAAGTTTGGTTTAATCCAAATATTGTATATTTTATGAAACCTTAAAATCTCAATAACAAGCCTGATTTGAAAAAGGCCTTGCATTTCGTACATTCAAACGTATGTCGAAATATGCCTGGGGTTCGAGGCGTGGGCCACTTTTTCCCCGTCGGGATTTACTGGTAAACATCAAATGACATTTTATTATTGCAATAAGTTGATAAAGGGAAAAATTCCAAAAACCTGTATCACATTATATTCTTTCAAGCCAAAACAAGAAGGACTTGACAATATGTCATTGCCGGCTTACTGTCTAAATGTAAATAAGCCTGGGATGCCGTATTGAAAATGAAATTAAGGCACGTAGTATCTCATATAACCACTAAGAAATAATAAGGTATAACTAATTGCACGAAATGAACACATTGGTACATCAAACATTGATTTCAGCTGCAGCGACCTATTAAATATTTAATTGATGCTTCCTTTCCGTATTTCTAGTGTCTAATTTATCTTAATTATCTAATTTCTGGTATAGGTATCCGCTCAGGGAAAGTAGTAAAATGATTGATGTTTTGCAATTTATCGCGTATTCTTTTCACAAAGAAGCTAAAACGAAAATATAAGGAGAGGATCTATAATTGATTACTTTTCATTCTACGTTTATAGGGACCCTTTTTGATGCAGTGTGTAATGGTAAGTGTAATACTCTTTGTTTTACCTTTAAACAACCGATTCTTATCGAAATTGCGTATAATAAAAGAAATGCTATAAAGAGCAACATCCATGACCTGAAAGCCAAGATTTACTGTCTATGCATCTGAAATTCATACTACAAAGCTTCATTTTATGTTTGGTAATCAACTCACCTAAAAGCACAGTATTTTTTAAGAACTTGAAATTGTACCAACATTAGCGGTACAGATGTCTTTCTCTGACACCAGATGTCGCTATATTTATGAGTGATAACATATTAAGTACTTGTGTGTTCAACTGTTTCCCCATCAAATCATCTATTTTACGGTAATTTGCAAGGAAGTGACAGGCATTGACATTTTAACTAGCAAGAATAAATATTTGTCTTATCGTAATTAGGCAATACGTGTTTTACGACGCAAATCTCTATTCGCCCACTCAGCTAATAATGTCTCGGTGCAGGCTCACACTGCCCGTAAAGAGTATCTTCTGACTGTATATTGTACACCGGGGGGTTGGGTAACCGCCCCGTTAACACTATAAGTATCCAATTATTGATAGAATTATATGGTTTGCAAGCCTTATCACCAAGTGCCTAAATAAGGTATCTGCTGAATTACTTTGTTGGAAAAAAATGGTCCTGATTCGTCAGAATTGGATACTGCCTTGAACGATTTTGTTTACGGCATAGCACATTCGAGCTAATGAGAGGAATATTTGATAGATAGTTTTGAATTTAAAACGTGAAATCGACGATTCCTGTTTTCATACAGATTTTACGACTAGTTTTAAATCATATGAATGTGTCCGGCTTAACCAACATCTGTGTATCAGTAACATGTATTTACACTCATAAACTACCTTTCCCTCAGATGATATTTGCTACTCGTAAGAGGTTATTACATATACTGATTATATCTCAACTTAAACCAAGATATTCGAATCGACGAAGCTGCTACAATACTCAGTCTTTAACTAGATAACGACACATAGGGTGCTATTCTGTTGCTGGAACCTTTTAAACTGCGCTCATTCTTTTATGTAATTTGACTCTGACTTCATTTATCTTATATGTATTCATTCCTAAATGACGGCACGCTCTGCTACGTAATGCATACAGATGTACTCATATTTTCAATGTATACAAAGTTATACTCTAACAGCCCAAAAGTAAATAAAGATCGATTTTAGTCTCATTTGTAACCAATTATCCGGTTTGAAAAGCTAAGATCAGGTTGCACCCGTCAATAAGCTAACAAAACACATCAGATTTATAATTAGAAAGACCAACGGTAGCTTGAATAGGGTTTGTTTAGCTAGTCTACGGACCATCAAGTCGTTTAATACGCTCACGGCGGCGTAGAGTGAAGGACACGCCAGCCACTGCTATAAGGTAAGTGCTGATGGATGTGATTGCTTGCGTCTGTGTATTGGACTCATCCCAGCAGTTAGTACCCCTATAAAACTAAGTGGTAACTTACAATTATTGCTCTAGGATGACCGAAACTAATAGCCACACTATTGATTAATTCGCTATTGACAAACTGTTATGAAACAGAATATTTTAACAATCGTCTCGAGCCGTTAGGTTAGCGCTGATGGATAGGACAGTTTCTGTCTGTTTATCAGCCCAAAACCAACAGCTAGTGTCCATTACCGCTTTTACACGACCGTGCCAGTAGGTACATAGTTTATCAATAAACATCCTAATTAAAGGGAATATGGCTGATCGACGCGCAGGTTGTCTAAACGGGTTTTTTGTAGGAAAAGTGGAGAGTAATTTCAAAGCCAATATACTCAGCGGAATACTTATTGAATCTATCATATGTTTGTGTGAGTGAGAGGGCTATTCTACCTTAGGGTGGTGAAATATGGGCCAGAACTGAGGCTCTGATGAGGTTCTGAGTCCAAATTTCACACTCCTAGGTAAAATTGTCTTATTCAACTCATCTTCATAGTCTCTGGCTCTTTTAACACCTCTCTGTTCAGTGAATTTGAAAATAAAAACGACAATGCCATTGCGAATGCAACAATGAATATAGTAGGTTTTCTGGTTCCCGTACTTTACCAGTGAGAGTGGGAAAAGTATTGTATCCCAAAGGTGTACCTTAAAATCAAAAGGATTTGGAAAAGTTTCACATCAAGATTGTTTTAAAAATTTCGTCTCTCGGTTTCAGCGGTAGATTTCTTTTTCCCTTTTTGGCTGATCAGAATGTTAATTCATTGACATCACGTATTATATCGAAATGATGTCACGTTCCAGAACATGCCAGTCGGTGTGATACCGAACATTTTGAACGCAAACGTTTGCTTGAATGCACTCTCTAATCAGTATTCAGTTTCCCTGAACCTCTGTTTAGATCAGGTGTGTACCAGCAGTAATGTAAAAATATACCTCGCGGAAACAATGACACCATGAGTATATAAAGCCCTATGTTGGTCAACGACCTGCTGATATTTTGTGCACGTGACATGGACATGACAATTCAGTCAGGCCCATCGATATATTTTGATATATCGGGAAGTCCCACGCTCCCATATAATATCCGCATCCAGAAGGTACTTAAAACCGTACCTAAGAACCGTCATCCGTCTTGACGTATGGAGCCCATACTATCTCATTCTAGTACAGGAAATTATCACCTGTTTTGACACCAGAACCACGCCGACAAAAGCAAAGTGTTCATGAAATGTCTATCCTTGGGAATAGAGATACGAAAATGAAATATTTCAACAATGTATAAATATCCTAGCAAGTATTACAGGGACATTGTTTACCATTTCCATGATTTATTACAAAATATTAAGGAAAACCTAAACGTATGTTACCTATTCCTTTATATCTTGGTTTTAGACCGCGGCTTATTTAATTATTACTGTTTTGTAAGAAATCTTTTTTACGGATACGTACAAGGACGTATCCGTAAAATAAGATTTTTTACAAAACAGTAATAATCAAAATATGTTGATGACCCTGACTGAATTGTCATGTCCAAGTCACGTACACAAAATATCAGCAGGTCTTTGACCAACATAGGGCTTTATATACTCATGGTGTCATTGTTTCCGCGTGGTATACTTTTACAACACTGCTGGTAAACACCTGTTCTAAACAGAGGTTCAGAGAAACTGTATCTTGACAAGAGAGTGCATTCAAGCAAACTTTTGCGTTCAAAATGTATACAAGAACTTCAATATGCTTATTATCTCAATCAAAGGGTACTTTAAAAAAAATCACAACTTTGAATAATAACTCTTACTTAATATTCAAGAAAAACACTAAACACTACACAGAATAATAGATATATCTTACCAAATTTTACAGAAAGATTCCTCACGTTTATGACTTTACTGGACTTAAAAACTTATTTCTTTTAATACTCTACCGGATTGTTAAGTTGCATTAATTCTTTATATAAGTATTTCTGACAGAACATACTGAACTGTAAAGAAAACCTATAGATGTTTATTTACTACTCCTATGGTCTGTAAACCTATAGATGTTTATTTACTACTCCTATGGTCTGTAAACCTATAGCTGTTTATTTACTACTACTATGGTCTGTAAACCTATAGATGTGTATTTACTACTCCTATGTTCTGTAAACCTATAGATGTTTATTTACTACTCCTATGGTCTGTAAACCTATAGATGTTTATTTACTACTACTATGGTCTGTAAACCTATAGATGTTTATTTACTACTCCTATGGTCTGTAAACCTATAGATGTTTATTTACTACCCCTATGGTCTGTAAACCTATAGATGTTTATTTACTACTCCTGTGGTCTGTAAACCTATAGATGTTTATTTACTACTCCTATGGTCTGTAAACCTATAGATGTTTATTTACTACTCCCATGGTCTGTAATCAAATAACCTATGCTACTTAATTTGACTGTAAATGTTTTGTTATGCTTAAAGTATTCCTTATAATACATTTCTTTATTCAAAACAACTTTTTTTCATTACTTAGTTTGACTGCTAATTAATTTTAATATTTTGATTGAACAATAACGTATGGCCTTGAAGACTTAGCTAGATTGTAACGTTTTGTTAATGCGATAAATAGTACTTTGACAATTTTTTTAAACTGTCAGCATACCATTTTTTAATACTTTGCTGAAGTGTAAAGGTTTGATAATGATATACATATGATGTTCACTGCATTGCTGCATTATTATTTCTCTAAACGATTCGAATTACCAGAATAGTTGTATTGTGGCAGGTTTTAATTGTACATAGTTTAAGGTCGCCTTGTCGCTTCGAGCTTCAGGGAATTTCCCTTTAGCTTAGAAGTA